TAGGTCTCTTTACTTCCAGATAACTTAAACAAAAGTAGATGTAAAGGGGAAACAGCAACAAAGCTCAACTCCTTGTAATGGAAGTGCCATCTAGATAAAAAACCATGGCCAAGCCTTCCAAGTTTCCAGAAGCACATAAAAAGGGAAACTTTAAATGTTTGTCCTGATTGTTACAACATCATACAACTCCTACGCAACGTGGATGAGATAGTCTGAACCAATCTGGCAATATCCCTTTAATGCTGATAAATTCTGCATGAATTATGCAATTAATTCTGCAATTAAGTATGCATGAATTCTGCAATAACGCTACTTGCTTAAAGGGAAGATGCCCAGATGACTTTATGCCTTAAAGATATCTGAGAACTTATCCTTAAGGAAAGAACTCAAATAAGTACAACAGAGGAAATCAGCTGACACCAGTCACTGCAAGTGATGTTTTACCCTTTTCCATATATTTGCTGCTCAGTATAAATGAGTTGCTTATTTATCACTGAGGAGAACCACAGACAAAATGGATACTATTTTTAACCACTTGCTGCATATTTATGCTTGCTATCTTTGCCAGGTTTTCACCAACAAAGAGAGCAGTCTGTCTTTCTACACAAGCTGAAAGAACAGTTGAAAGACTACATTTATAACCCTCCAGATTTAAAAACAGTTAACCCCAGGGCTCCACAGTATCTTTTATGCAAAACCTTTAAATAATATTCTATAAGCCACTGATTTATGAATTAACTGATCTGTATCACATGAAGGACTGGAGATGTATAAAAATAAACCTGTCCTCTGCTGGAAGGGAGTAATCTCTATTTCTCCTCATTAGAATATTGCTGCAAATGTTTCCTCCTATAGATAGCACAGCAACAGCTCAACAGTGGATGGTGGCAGTAGGACAGTTCAAGGCAAAAGCAGCACAACTTCTAGCTAGAGCTGTATGAAAAATTTAGGTGGGCAGAAAGTAACTATCGAATTGGAAATTCTTCAAGACAAGGGAATTATACTTAATCTCCATGAAGATTAAAAAGGAATCTTTCCTGTGTTCACACACCTGAGACTTCAGGCAATGCTAAGATCACCATCCACAGCTTGCCATGCTTTGGTGTAGCAAAGGGCACAATAGCACCTGACAGGACAAGAGGAAATAGCCTCAACTTGCACCAGGGCAGGTTTAGATTGGATATTCGAAAAAATTTCTTCACTGAAAGGGTTATCAAGCACTGGAACAGATTGCCTGTGGAAGTGGTGGAATCACTGGCCCTGGAAGTGTTCAAAACATGTGCAGATGTGGCACTTGGAGACATGATTTAGCAGTGGATGCAGCAGTGTTAGATTAACAGCTGGTCCTGATGATCTTAGAGGTCTTTTCCAACCTTAATGATTCTCTGATTCTGATTCACAGCCAACTCTTTTTCTCACAGTGAAAATTCCTCATGGAGAAAATTCCTCTTTCAAAAAGATACCCACTCTAGCACTCCTGAGAGATCCTTCACACTTGCATCATTATGACCATAGGCCAGAGCAGAAGTGAACATGGAAAACATAAAATCACTCTCTTCCAATGCTGACAGATAGTTTATGCTGAATCAAAGAACTGATGTAACTTTTAACCTCTACTGAATCTTTGATAAAAATAAAATAACATTAATAGTAATTATGAAAAATTGGCTCTGGAGTAGTGTTCCATGTACAGCTGCTCATCAGAAAAGGGAGCCAAATGAATGTCACTGTATGTTAGGAACACGATTCCTAGCAAACAAAAGACGATATAAAGTAAAGAGGAAAGTGTTCAAGAAGTGTTTGGACAATGCTCTTAAACACATATTTTATTGTTAAGCTTGCCCTGTGTGGAGTAAACATTCGGAATCAATGATCCTTGTGAGTCCCTTCCAACTCAGGATACTCTGTGATTCTACAGTCCCAGGAATGTCTTCACTAGTGAGAAACACCAGTTCACAAGCAGCAACTGTCAGGATCTGCAATTTGTTTCTTTATGATTGTTTTCAGTGGCTATAAAACTTGGGCTTTCTATTTGCCTTTAACCATATGATAACCCAAAACACTCTTGTTCATGACAGTCTATATTTACACACCTATGTTTGCTCAGCACTACAAAGCAACAACATAAAACCAAGCACCTACAGCAGTTATCACAATCTCCAGTTAGTAAAAGTCAATCAGCTTTTGGCCTCATGACATAACATAACAGGTTATCTTCAGAAAGAGCCATTCCCAGTGTGTGGGTTGTCATCACATCATGATGATCCAGTTCCATATGTGGTTAAGACCAGAGGAGATGACAATGGAAAAATAGAAGAGAGCACAGAAGTTTTAATGTTGAAAAGCATAACAAACTGGATGGATTTTTTTTTACAGTTACTTTGTCTCACTCCTTTCTGATTCATAATAGAAGAGCATTACCCAAACAAATAAGTAAGCTCAAAAAATGCATATAATAAAGTATCATAATCAAAAGGATGATGGGAAATCTCTCTCTCCTCTGTTTACTGGAAATGCCAATACATGACTAATAATGCAATCTGATTTAATGTTATTAAAATAGAGAAGATAATATGCTTAGTTTTGTTGTCTTCTACACTGTATGATATGGTAAGATGTTTCAAAAGCATGTGTATATAATCCTCCACCCCAGGACCTTCCAGTAAAACAAAAAGCTTTCCTATAAAATATTTTCGCAATGAAATATCCGCTGTTTGGAAAGTTAAAAAATGAACTAATCAAAACTTTTTTCAATTTTCATCCTCAGAACATGTCAATTCTATAAAAACTATTAAATAAACTATTGTTGCCCTCTAGTGTTCAAACACAGCTTGTAAAGGCCTCTCCAGAAAGATCCAAACTGGTCACCTAACAATTCCCAATTTGTTCTTAATCTGACACAACCAGTGGATTGGAAAAAAAAAAAAAAGGTTTAAGTGTTTCAGTATACCTGCCTAATATCTTATTGTCTTTGCTCAAGCATAAAAAAAGGTTTTTCCTGTAAAGTTCTTTTATTCAAGTATTGTGAAAGGCCAGTCACTCACCAAATTAATACCAAAGGTACTTGTGCACCTTTCTGTCTTACTTCTGCCTTTCACTGTGCTTGACATGCATTGCTGTTTGGGTTGGAGGGCAATGTTTTAATGATATTAGTCAAACTGTAGAATCATACAGTGGTTTGGGCTGCAAGGGACCTTAAATCTCATCTTGTTCCTCCCCCCCTGCTATGGGCAGGGACACCTTCCACTATCCCAGGTTGCTCAGTCCCCTCCAACCTGGCCTTGAACCCTTCCAGGGATGGGGCAACCACAGCTTCTCTGGGTAATCTTCTCCAGTGCCTCACCACCCTCAGGAAGAATTTTTTCCTAATATCCAATTTAAACCTGCCCTCTGTCATTTTTAAGGCCATTCCCCCTTGTTCTATCACTATATGCCCTTGTAACATGCCCCTCTCCAGCTAAATACATGCCCAGTGCTCTGAACAACCTTGAGATGTATCTGCTTGTCTTCTCTTGAACATTTTGCTACTGTACTGTAACCTTATCAATTAATAGCAACCATCTTTCCCTCCAACAAATTACAGCAGAAATGCACAGTGAGGATTCAGGGGTTGTTCTCAGCACCTCTCCTGCAATAAGCTGCTGTGAGCTCACCTGCAACGTAGAAAGCTTCTCATGAAGTTTTAGTTCTTATGAGAGTAAATTATGGTCAACCTAAGATCTGTGTCTGCATTTTTACAGCTAGGCCTAGTACTTATCAGTCTGTGAACTCATTTCCTAAAAATGTTGTTCCCTCTTATCATGTTTCTTGACCAGAAACCTCTGAAAATGTCTATTAAAAAAAATCCACTGAGGTTAAACAAAATGCAGTCAACAAACAAGCTGATGAATTTGAGATACTTTTCTTTTGTAATTTTGTTCACCTTTAAGAGGTTATCCAGAATGTTTTTCATTTACAGAACAGCTGGATTTGTACCTATAAAGCAATGTGCAGCCCCCCCCATAGTAAGAATTCAACTTCTTGACATTTCTTTGATCTCTGAATAATGGAATTTTCAGAGAATTTTCTTAGAGCTTTCAGAAAACTTGCCTTGAGGCCATTTTTGGATCACGCCTGCTTCCCACCACACTAAGCTTGACAGATCTAACAACCTCTTGGATGTGAGTCACATTTCATATTTTGTAACAGAATTGTTTCCTTGCATTCAGGAGGCACCCTTCCTTCTCTGCCGTGATGTTTGTTGTTGATTATGCTGCCTGACATGGATACTTTGAAATCTAGCCTTTCATTCTAAAAACAGGTTTAGACTGAGGGCATGCAGAGGGAAATTAAAATAATATGAACTGGAAGTTGTGGCACAAGCAGTAGATGCTCATGTGCCCTCTCACTTTGCAGTCAGGGAAACACAGATAATCACAGAATTGCTTAGGTTGGGAAAAAACTTGGAAGATCATCAAGACCAACCGTTAATAAGCTGCTATACTTATTACCAGTCACACGAAGAGGACCCTAGAAATGAAGAGGGTGTGCTTTGAGAGCCAGCAAGAGCTCTGTGTGTTCAGGAGGGACAGCAAGTCCAGCACTGAAACACATGGTCCTTTCTAGAGCCACTAGGGAGGGAAGCAGGTGCATGCCAGAAGCATGAAGATAATGCAACCTTGTTCATCTGTTCCTGCTGACTGCAGGAAACTCCTTTGAGATGTGCACCCTCCAGCAACATAGTCACCATTTTTCTCTAAAACTTTTTTACCTCTTGGTAGATGTTCAGCAAAGGGAGCCCACACCTTTCTGTGTATATAACTATAAACCGTATGTAGAAAAGGAAAATTAAGCTATGTTATATGTAATATAATTTTTACTGTTTGTACCTAAAACCATTTGGATGCAAAGCTCTATTACTAAGTATTCCTTTTAAGCTACAAATTGAGGAAATAGGATTGCCAGGCAATCATGTAACACTCTGGCATTTGGTGCAAACAGCACTGAAAACGCCCACGTGCTGCACAGGTACTCAATTTATTAGGTGTACTTCTATTTCACTAATCTTGTCACAGTACAGATTAAGCTCATGAAATGCTTTTTCTCCTTAAATATAAGACCTTCTTAGCTTAACTTGGATTTGAGTGTTTATTCTCAGGATTTAGTATAAATCAAAAATGACAGACATTATAGTTCAGCGTAGAAAGAGCATTTCTTTTCCCCACCAAACCCATATCCTGCCTTCTGCTTTGCCATTAGAGGAGAAAAAAGGAATCCATCCTCTTCTGAGATTTCAGTATCTACTGTTCCATTTCAGAGTCGCCCTCTCAAAAGTGACATGATCCTCAAAATTTTATTCCCTCTCCCCATCAGACATCAGAATACATTCCATTGATCAGGTAATCCAGCCTGGTATAATGCCTCTTCTGAAGAGATTCATGTATTTTTTTCCCTGTCAGTGCAATAACCAGCAACAAGAACATCACCCCAAAAAGCAAAGCTGCTAGAAGGCTGCTTTTCTCCCCCAGCTGAACACCACCTTTCCCTCCCAGAACACCCTCTGACAGGTAGCTTTCGGAGCCAGATGGGTCATAACCCTGAAGGTCATTTTGGGAAGATGTGGGGGAATCACTGGTAGAGAGAATGAAACCTGAAAAAGAGGGGAGGGTTACATGGCTGGCATCACTGGAAGAGACAACTGCTGGCTCAGGAGACGTGGCTGGAGTCCTCAGCCCTGATGGAGCAGCAGCAGATCTGGAATTTGTGGTCACCCGCTCGGTTGTAGAAGTTGTGGGACTGGAAAGAGGAACATGAGTAACAGCGATGCTGGTGACAGGGACACCAGGTTTAGCTCCAGTGGCTGTGGTAGGCGAAGAGGTGGCTGTGGTGGTGGTGATTGCAGGCTCAGCAGCACCAGGATGCAGAGAGGTTGTACGAAATTCCAACTGGGCCGGACTTGCAGGCAGAGGAGCAAGAGCAGTGCTGCTGGTTTCAGGAGCACTGGGCTGAGCGGTGGGGAACAAAGCAGTGGGGTTCCCAATCTGAACAGCAGAAAACATGTTTGGTGGCAGATTCATTGCTTTCTGCCTTGGGATGGAATCTAAGCTCTCAGACTGTTTTGCCCTTTGAGATTCAGGAAAATCTGTGTGAAATTCAGTGTTGTCTAAATGCTTGCCTATGTGGTTCACGGGTTCAGATGCCTGATGAAATACAGATTGTTGCCAAGTGCCAGTATGATTCTGAGGGCTATTCTGAGGGTGAGAAAAAAAGGTTCCTGCATCCAAAGACAAAGAATACTCATTTGAAGAAAAGTTCTCAGTTTTGATGGATTCATCCTCTGGGGCATGGGTGTCTGGAAACAGAAATACCAGTATTTAATTATTAAATCTATTTTTGACTAACATAGGCTTACTCAATTTGTATTACTTAGAAAGAGAGATATAAGGGAGCTCCAGGAGGTAATGACTAAGGAAACTGAGGCCTCATGAACTTCTTTTCTTTAAAATATACACAGTGACCTTTAAATTCTACATCATAATACCTGTGAGCCTCAAGCCTGGTCACATCAGACCATGACTGCAACTTCTTACAGAATTTTCCTCTGCAGAGTGATCATCCCAGTGTGATTAGTTTATACCTACATTGCAGGCATGTAAGCATTTATTTAGAGGTGAAAAGCAGAGTGAACAGGCTCACTGCCTTCAAACCATTCTCAGCCTCTGTGAGTTAAGAAGTAGATATTATCCATGTCACTTTTACCAATTTTATTTGTCAGATGTACGTTTCCAGCTGGTTAATATGATTAGATACAGCCCTTTCTTGTAATGTCCAAGCACCCTGACACAATTCAATTCACATTCAAAAATTGTTTTATGATACAAGGTGGCAATAATATCTCCATTTTATAGGACATTTTATACACATACTGATTTGTAGGAATGAACTGAGTTCCTGCTGTGCTTGAAGACACTGCTCCAAGAGTATGTGAGGTACTGGCAGAGAAGACCTCCATGAGAAGCAGACTACATTTTATAAATTTCTCCGGAAGCTGATATGTATTCCTTGCAAAACAGGTGGCTGATGTCATTTAATAGAATTTGGAAGAAGAAGAACAACAGTGTCATGTGACAGAAATACCATAAAAATTATAATCCTAGCAGATACCTGATTTTACACAGTACTACAGAAAGTATTTGGGTAAACACAAGCTCTTGGAAATACTGGCTAATTGTTCATTCAGATTTTATATATCTATACATGTATATAGATATGATTTATAATTATATTTATAATATAAAAATACATTATATATCTATAACAATTCAGCTGCTGCACAGAACATTTAAAAGGGAACATGCTCTCAAATAGTTCTGACTCTCACTCATTTGTTTTTATCATAGAAAAAAAGAGGTTTGTTAATTGCAGTGGAATTGAAATAAATTTAAAAAAAGCTCATTACATTTTCATTATCACTTTTTTCTCAAGTAGGATCTCTTATCTAGAGGGATGGACATATTTCAGTTTTACTTACATGTAAAGAAGCCTACTTGGCTGCTGTTTTAATATATCTTTCCCAGCCTTAAAAAGCCACAAAAAAAAAATGAAATGCAAAAAAAGCCAACCCCAAAACAACAAACCAAAAAGCTAGCAACGCTAAAGAGTACAGCAAATACTTCATTTGAATCACAGGCACAATTTTATCTTAATCTTCCATCAAACATTGATTTTATAGTATTTTTTGTCTCCATTTTAAACTACAAGCTCCCAGATGCAGTGGCCCAAAACTGTCACATGCAAGGTACAGCTTGGGTATTAGGATAGACATTTGTTGGTAAGAAAGAACAAGGGCACTATATGACTCAAACTTTAAAAGGAGCTGAAAAAAATAAAATGGTCTTTCTGATATCTCAAATCCAATATGTTTCATTAGAACCCAAACTTCATGTTGTCACTCTTAAAAAACAAACTAAACACCTCCTGAACATGTTTTACTTCACAAGCCGTAGGTTGTTTCCATTCATTAGCAGCCACAAGGATAGTTAAAAAAAAAAGAAAAAGCTAAATTTTATTACTAATGTAGCATCAGTATTTTAAGTTGCTTTATTACCAATAAATTATCTTTCCCCCTTTTATTCTGGTTTTCAGTGTAACCACATATGAAAGAACAAAGTTTGAAATGTTTGTCGGTACTGACACTGCTCAGGTGCTACCTTTGAAAACTTATCAGGAACATAAGGTAAACAAGCTAGCATAATCTTTCCCTAATTCAATGTTCACAGAAGCTAAAAACTGCAAAATGAAAGAGATGTAGTATTTGCAATCGAGTTGTTCACTCAGCATTGTACTATATATGCAGAATGAAAGCAAAAGCATAATTACATTTCTTGTTTCTTTGTTTGAAACCCTGATATTCTTGTAGGGGAGAAAGAGCTGGAGGAAAGAGTAGTTATAATAATAATTTTACAGGCATGCAGTTCATTTGTTGCACGTTGCTTTTGCACAATTCCTGTGTGACTGTGCTTGCACAAAAACACTTGGTAACATTATATGAGTAATCTTTCCATATATCATGCTGTTGCTCCTTGCAAATAGTTCCTCTTGGAAAAGTTCTCTTTTTCAGCAGGAGTTCAGTTTCTGGAAATATGAAATTTTTGCTCTCTCAAGCAGCCACACTGAAACCACCTTGTAAACTCTTGGCAGGACAGACTAATTATCAGTCTCTTATCTGAGCTGTTCAAACAGGTCTGGTGCAAGTCAATCCACAAACCTGCCTTGCCATTAAAAATCCCACAGCCTATGACAGAGAGCGAGAAATTCCTGAGTGTGCAGCCCATACACCATAAAGCTTCCAGTTTAGAAAGTTTGCTTCTGCACTTCAGGTTCCCTTACTGAAAACAGAAAAATAATGATTACCATTGCCAATTATTCATCAGTGTAACATGAGCCCTTTAAAAAGGGCATGGTATTTCCACTGCTTTCAGTGATACTCTCCATCGTTACATCCAGGCAATCTTCCTTCTTGAATATATATCAGTATGGCAGCAGCTTCTTTTTGTTTTAAGCAAGGGCAAATGATGAGGAGTTCTCAATCTAATGTGAAGGGATTTTATAAGGGTCATGATGTTATTCCGAGCAGGAAGCTGGGCCCACAAATAAGCTCACCACATACTTGCTCCTCCATTTTCTACAAAGCAAAGGAGCAACATTCTCAATTTATTGGGTTTGGCTTAGAACATTTTACTAAAAACACACAAAAATCCATTTTCTGGCCACTACTGAAAGTTCACAGGTGGAAAAGTCCTCTAGTGTGGGGGCTATTATTAAAATTATTATTATTAAATAATCTCACTATTATTTACCTCTAGTTATCTTGTAGCTCACAAGTCCTGTTGCAGGTTTCATCAGACAAGCCTCTGTGGTAGGGCAGTAAAAGAGGTAGCAGTTTGGATGTGCTTTTGTTCTTCCAGCATAAAAAATCACCAAATTACACTTCTTGTCTCCTGCAAAACATAATAAATGTGTGTTTCAGCAATAAGAACTTTTATAGCAGTATGATAATGAGCTCTATTTCGTTAATTTTTCTTCATATGAGTAAGAGGAAAACTACTAACTCATAACATCCCTACAGGAAAAACAGCCAAGGGCTACAAAAGAATGGCCTAGGGCCAAAATACGAAAGGTCACACCTTCTTCTTCCTGTACAAATAAAGTTGGGGAAATGATGAGTCTAATCCCTCATCTTCCCCTTACCTGTAACACAACAGCACCACTTTATATAACAATTTCTCACTTACAAATCCTGATAAATCTGAAAACCTCCTTGGTAAACTCCTGGGGAAGAAAATTATTTATATATTTTTCCCTACCACATCCCAGGAATTGCTTGTCTTGTTGCTGCTTGGGAGGGTCACCTTTACCCCTGTAGTTTCTACTTGCTGCTTTGCCTCCTACTGCTCCAAGAGCTTGATGCAAACCAACCATCACAGAGAAGGGTAAGCATTCTTATTTTTGGCTAAAATTAAATAGAAAAATGTCAGTGCAAAATATCACTCACTTTGTAGCACATCTACTAAACGCAGCCAAGGCATCTTAGGCTTTGGGGATCTGAGAGTTTTTAACGCTTAAAACTACCACAGTTTCTACGATGCAACTATTTCCCTGAACACCCCGGGGGTCCTGCGCTGAGATCCAACATCACGCTCGGCAAAAGAGGGTAGCAGCCGCAAGCGGGTACCACCCAAACCCGAACGAGAGGATAAACTGACGTTCCTATGCTGAACACGGAGAAGAGCGGCTGAACACCACGCCAGCCCGAACCCCAGAAGTAATTTCCCGGGCGCTGGTAGGCGCTGGCGGAGAAGGCGGCCCCTCGAGGTTACCTGCGAGCCCGTCCCCGGAGCAGCAGGCGCGGGCACAAACCCCCGCGCTGGGGACGCGAAGCGGCTCCGCGCCCCGCACGCCCCGGGGCAGAGACAGGTCTATATCGATGATGGAGTTCTCCATTCTCTCCGCGGAACACTCCTGAGCCAGGGACGGCCCGGCCATCACGCAGGTGATCACCAGCAGGCGAACCGGCCACCGGCTGCCCCCCCGGGACATGGTGAGCGGGGCGGGGGCTCCGAGGGCGCTCCGGGCGGGTTTGTCGCCGGAGCCGCGCCGAGGTGCCTCCTCTGCTCCCCGGGCGGGGAGGTGTCTCTGGGGGCACCTTCGGGCTGTCCCCCCTGCCGCCCGCTGGCGGGAAGGCAGCGGCAGGGCCCGGCCGGGCTCGGCAGGGCGGATCAGGGAATCCGCGGGTGTCCCGGCACGTCCGGGAGGAGGGACCGCGGGAGGCGGGTCCGGGCCGCCTGCCTGCCCTCCTCCTCCTCCTCCCCCCCGGCCTGCCCCCTGCCTGCCCTTCTGCCTTCCTTCTTGCTTACCTGCCTACCTGCCCTCTTCCTGCCCTTCTGCTGCCTTCCTTCTTGCCTTCCTACCTACCTATCTGCCTGCCTGCCTACCTACCTGCCTGCCCACATACCTGCCTGCCCACGTACCTGCCTGCCTACCTACCTGCCTGCCTACCTACCTGCCTGCCTACCTGCCCTCTTCCTGTCCTTCTCCTGCCTTCCTTCTTGCCTGCCTGCCTACCTGCCTGTCTGCCAGCTGCCTGCCTGCCTTCCTGCCTACCTACCTGCTTACCTGCCCTCTTCCTGACCTTCTCCTGCCTTCCTTCTTGCCTTTCTACCTGCCTGCCTACCTACCTGCCTGCCTGCCTACCTACCTACCTACCTGCCCATCTGCCTTCCTGCCTCCCTGCCTGCCCTTCTCCTGCCTGGCTGCCCTTCTGCCTGCCCGGCGGGGCTGCAGGGGTGTTCCCACTCCTCCAGCTGCTTGCCGGCACCAAGGGCTCTTCCTTGAGCATCGGACACAAAGACGAAACCACACGGTGAAATTCTTGGTTGGTCAGGCTGTTGTGGTTTTGCCCACAGTCAGATCTGTTTTTGGAGGCTGTAATGAAAGTGATTAATATGCATATCCTGGACTAAACGGACATGGACATATTTCCATGTCTGTGTAAGAGACTCCTTGCTACCTGAGTAATCCTGTTCAAACACAGCCAAGCACAGGGTGTTTGCAGAATGGGAGTTGTACACAATAGCCTGTATACTAGGACTGGTGGCTTAGCCATTCTTCCCTCAGCTGTCTCTGTGAAATTGCTTGCTTAAGTAATGTTTTTGCTTGGAAATGTTTCATTTCCTCTTTTTAATTTTTTTCTTATTATTTTTGGGGTGGTGTTTAGGAGTAAAAGTAGCCCAGAGACAAAGGAGTGCAAAGAATAAAAGGATTATAGGACATATTCCTTCTTTTTCAGGAAAGAGATATTTTATTTATTTATTTATTTATTTATAGTTTCCTGTAAATAAAAGACATTTTCTTTTTAGAGATGGTACATTACCTGAAGAGATACCAAAGGGCAGGTTATTTTATATATTATAATGGTTAGATGCCAAGGGATGGATGTTCTTAATGCCCAGTCAGTCCCCTTGGTTAATATGGCTGGGTTTTGGCTTTTTTTTGGACATGATTGTTCTAAGAGACTGAGCCCACCATCACATTTTGCATCAAATGGCTATTTTGGGGCAATTCCTAATGTTTGGTTGTGATTCTCACATTCTTGGTGGGGTGTTTTTATCTGAAATTTTCGGCTGCACTTGTTTAAGAAAATGTTTCTAGCCAGGCATTTCTCTTTTGGTAAACTGGTAACATTCATTGTTCAAAGAAAAAGTTGTAAGAGAATGTGAACACTTAAGGTGTCACCTATTAAGTGCATCACACAGTGAATGACAATGGGAATGAATACTAAAAGCAAGCCCAGGTATTACTCCTACTGTATGTTAGACAAAGTTGCATCTGCCACCTGCCTTTGCTTACAGAGTGGTGGTGGTGGTAGAAGCCAAGCAGAAAGAAGCTGAAAAATAAGGCTAGAGGTCTGTCTGGGTTGGTGGTGAGGGTGAGGACACTTGTTCTTTACCAGAACTTTTGGGATAGTGTTAATAGTGTGAGGGTACTGTAATGATAGTGAATGTGAAAATATACACAGAGACTGCTGTGGTGGGACAGGCACAGATGATTATGGGAATATGAGAAGGGCTGATGTGATCTATAATATGAGCAGGGCAGAAGAGATACCGGGGATAACACGACTGCCCCGCTCCAGCCACCATGGCTGATTTCTGCTCTTCCTGTGGGGCAGGTGCTCAGCCTCCCTGAGGAGACCAGAAGCAAATCTGTCAGGCTGCTGAGGTGCAGGGAAGCCAAGGTCCATCAAAAGCTCTGCAGAAACCTTGTCTGCTGGCTAGGAGAGTGCCAGCCTTGCACAGCAGCTGCTGTGCTCCCTTCACCACTGAGATGGGAAGGAAGGGAGGCTGAGAGAGGGAGAATGGAGGGACCCCCAACTCTGTGTTATGGTGCTAAGTCACTAAAGGTGTTTTCCTGCTTCTGTAGAGCACCTCTCTGCTTGAGAGCCAATGCTCATGATGAAACACTTGGGCACAGATAGGATGAACTTCTATTGTAACCTATTCTATTGGGTTACCAAAGTACATAGTACAGCATACAGCCTATAGCTAGCAAAAGGTGATGTTGGATTGGGCTGAGGTTCTCATTTTTTGTGTTAAATTAAATCTTTGTGACAATTAGCAAAGGCAGCCAAGAAAAATGGTGCTGAGTTTGGTGCAGAGCTTTTGATGATGTTGGGCTTCGTGCATGAGCAGAGAACAGGCTTGTTCAGAAGCACCAGTGCTGGTCCTATTAGAGACAATTCTTCTGTCATAGACACTTGCATGATGCCTTTGCTGATTTGACTGTCAAATATGAAAGCAGTAAGTCTGAAATCTCAAAGTATGTTTCCTTCTCATTTTCACTTGTGTGTTTTCTGTTTGCTTTTTTTTTTCCTTTCTTTTTTTTCTTTTTTCCTAAGGCTGACCTCTCTGTGAACTTTTGATCTGGGCTGCTTTTCCCTCACTCCTGGCACACTTGTATATAAGGCAGCTGGTGATGGATGTTGCCCAGACTGCTCCGTGCCCAGCTGTCTGGGGTTTGGCATGTTTGTCTTAGCAGAGAATAATTAATATATGCAATTAAAGAAATCCCAGAATCACAGGTTTGTTAGGGTTGGAAGGGACCTCTGAAGATCACCTAGTCCAACCCCCCTGCCAAGGCAGGGTCATTAAAGGCAGGTTACACAGGAACTCATCGAGGTGGGTTTCAATGTCTCTAGACAGGGAGACTCCCTGCCTTCCCTGGGCAGCCTGTTCCAGTGCTCTGCCACCCTCAGTGTAAAGTTCTTCCTCATGTTGAGATGAAACTTCTTGTGTTTTACTTTATGGCCATTACTCTTCGTCCTGTTGCCGGGCACCACCGAAGCCTCTGGCACCATCCTCTTGGCACCTGCCTTTGAGATATTTATATGCATTAATGGTCTACTCTGGCCTCCAATCGGGAGGCCTGGAGACACACCATCTATAACGCTGCTGATGCTTTTGAGAAAGCACGCAGGATCACCCTCGAGGAGAAAAGACAATGCAGAAAGAATCGAGCCTTGCAGAATTTACCACCTAAGGAGTCTTTCTGCTGTGCCTTCTGCAACCGGACATGCCTTTCTCATATTGGCCTTTTTAGCCACCAACGCGCTTGCAACAAACGTGGGTAGAGCCCTTCCCAAATCTTCATTCGTCAAGCCCGGCCATGATGATGCATTAATGAGATCCCCTATCAGCCTTCTCTCCTCTAAACTAAACAGGCCCAGCTCCCACAGTCTCTCCTCATAACAGAGATGCTCCAGACCTCTCAGCATCTTTGTGGCCTCTGCTGGACCCTCTCCAGTAGGTCTACTGAGGAGCTGAGGAGCAGTGCTCCAGCTGTGGTCTCACTAGGGCGGAGCAACATCGCCTCCCTCAACCTCCTGCCCGAGCAGACAAGGGATGCTCTGCACCGCCCCGGCCCGAGAGGCCCAGGCAGAGGCCAGAGAGACCCTCCCGCTCCCCCCCCTTCGCTGGGCGGCCCCGAGCGCAGGCCCCGCCCGCGGGCGGAGCCGCCGTGACCCGGCACCGCCGCCGCCGGAACCCCGTGGGCGGGCGGGCGGCGGCCGCGGCGCTGCCCCCGCGCTGCGGGAGGCGGGGAACGAGCGAGCGGCCACCGCCATGGGAGCGGAGCAGAGCGCCGAGGCCGAGAGCCGCCCGGGCGAGCCCAGCGCCGCAGGTCGGTGCCCGGCGCCCCGCAGGGATGGGGGGGAAGAGAGAGGGAGGGAGGGGAGGCAGAGACAGGGCGCCGTGAACGGGGCTGTCCCCCCCCGGCAAACGGGGCTGTCCCCCCCCGGCAAACGGGGCTGTCCCCCC